GACTCACCACAAGTCCAACGACTCACCACAAGCGCAACGACTCACCACAAGCCCAACGACTCACCACACGCCCAACGACTCACCACAAGCCCAACGACTCACGACAAGCCCAACGACTCACCACAAGCGCAACGACTCACCACAAGCCCAACGACTCACCACAAGCGCAACGACTCACCACAAGCGCAACGACTCACCACAAGCGCAACGACTCACTACAAGCTCAACGACTCACCACAAGCCCAACGACTCACCACAAGCGCAACGACTCACCACAAGCCCAACGACTCACCACAAGCACAATGACTCACCACAAGCCCAACGACTCACCACAAGACCAAAAACTCACCACGAGCCCAACGACTCACCACAAGACCATCGACTCACCACAAGCCTAACAACTCACCACAAGCCTAACGACTCTCCACAAGCCCAACGACTCACCATAAGCCTAACGACTCACCACAACCCCAACGAATCACCACAAGCCCAACGACTCACCACAAGGACAACGACTCACCACAAACCCAACGACTCACCACAAGCGCAACGACTCACCACAAGCCCAACGACTCACCACAAGCCCAACGACTCACCTCAAGCGCAACGACTCACTATAAGCCCAACGACTCACCACAAGCCCAACGACTCACCACAAGCCCAACGACTCACAACAAGCCCAACGACTCACCACAAGCCCAACGACTCACCACAAGCCCAACGAGTCACCACAAGCCCAACGACTCACCAAAAGCCCAACGACACACCACAAGCCCAACGACTCACCACAAGCGCAACGACTCACCACAAGCCCAACGACTCACCACAAGCCCAACGACTCACCACAAGACCAACGACTCACCACAAGCCCAACGACTCACCACAAGTCCAACGACTCACCACAAGCGCAACGACTCACCACAAGCCCAACGACTCACCACAAGTCCAACGACTCACCACAAGCGCAACGACTCACCACAAGCCCAACGACTCACCACAAGCCCAACGACTCACCACAAGCCCAACGACTCACGACAAGCCCAACGACTCACCACAAGCGCAACGACTCACCACAAGCCCAACGACTCACCACAAGCGCAACGACTCACCACAAGCGCAACGACTCACCACAAGCGCAACGACTCACTACAAGCTCAACGACTCACCACAAGCCCAACGACTCACCACAAGCGCAACGACTCACCACAAGCCCAATGACTCACCACGAGCCCAAAGACTCACCACGACCCCAACGACTCACCACGAGCCCAACGACTCACCACGAGCCCAATGACTCTCCACAAGCCCAATGACTCTCCACAAGCCCCACGACTCACCACAAGCCCAACTCACCACAAGCCAAACGACTAACCACAAGCCCAACGACTCACCACAAGCCTAACGACTCACTACAAGCCCAACGACTCACTACAAGCCCGATGAATCACCACGAGCCTAACGAATCACCACAAGCCCAACGACGCACCAAGCCCAACGACCCACCACAAGCCCAACGACTCACCACGAGCCCAACAACTCACCACAAGCGCAACAACTCACCACAAGCTCAACATATCACCACAAGCCCAAGAAATCACCACAAGCCCAACGACTCACCACGAGCCCAAAGACTCACCATGAGCCCAACGACTCACGACAAGCCCAACGACTCACCACAAGCCCAACGACTCACAACAAGCCCAACGACTCACCACAAGGCCAACGAGTCACCACAAGCCCAACGAGTCACCACAAGCCCAACGACTCACCAAAAGCCCAACGACACACCACAAGCCCAACGACTCACCACAAGCGCAACGACTCACAAGCCCAACGACTCACCACAAGCCCAACGACTCACCACAAGTCCAACGACTCACCACAAGCCCAACGACTCACCACAAGCGCAACGACTCACCACAAGCCCAACGACTCACCACACGCCCAACGACTCACCACAAGCGCAACGACTCACCACAAGCGCAACGACTCACCACAAACCCAACGACTCACCACAAGCCCAACAACTCACCACAAGCCCAACGACTCACCACAAGCCCAACAACTCACCACAAGCCTAACGACTCACCATAAGCCCAACGACTCACCACAATCCAAACGACTCACCACAAGCCCAACGACTCACCACAAGCACAACGACTCACCACAAGCCCAACGACTCACCACAAGCACAATGACTCACCGCAAGCCCAACGACTCACCACAAGACCAAAAACTCACCACGAGCCCAAAGACTCACCACGAGCCCAACGACTCACCACAAGACCATCGACTCACCACAAGCCTAACGACTCACCACAAGCCTAACGACTCTCCACAAGCCCAACGACTCACCACAAGCCCAACGACTCACCATAAGCCTAACGACTCACCACAACCCCAACGACTCACAACAAGCCCAACGACTCACCACAAGCACAACGACTCACCACAAACCATACGACTCACCACAAGCGCAACGACTCACCACAAGCCCAACGAGTCACCACAAGCCCAACGAGTCACCACAAGCCCAACGACTCACCACAAGCCCAACGACTCACCACAAGCCCAACGACTCACCACAAGCGCAACGACTCACTATAAGCCCAACGACTCACCACAAGCCCAACGACTCACCACAAGCCCAATGACTCACCACAAGCGCAACGACTCACCACAAGCGCAACGACTCACCACAAGCCCAACGACTCACCACAAGCCCAACGACTCACAACAAGCCCAACGACTCACCACAAGCCCAACGACTCACCACAAGCCCAACGAGTCACCACAAGCCCAACGACTCACCAAAAGCCCAACGACACACCACAAGCCCAAGGACTCACCACAAGCGCAACGACTCACCACAAGCCCAACGACTCACCACAAGCCCAACGACTCACCACAAGACCAACGACTCACCACAAGCCCAACGACTCACCACAAGTCCAACGACTCACCACAAGCGCAACGACTCACCACAAGCCCAACGACTCACCACAAGTCCAACGACTCACCACAAGCGCAACGACTCACCACAAGCCCAACGACTCACCACACGCCCAACGACTCACCACAAGCCCAACGACTCACGACAAGCCCAACGACTCACCACAAGCGCAACGACTCACCACAAGCCCAACGACTCACCACAAGCGCAACGACTCACCACAAGCGCAACGACTCACCACAAGCGCAACGACTCACCACAAGCTCAACGACTCACCACAAGCCCAATGACTGTCCACAAGCCCAACGACTCACCACAAGCCCAACGACTCACCACAAGCCCAACGACTCACCACAAGCGCAACGACTCACCACAAGCGCAACGACTCACCACAAGCCCAACGACTTACAACAAGCCCAACGACTCACCACAAGCCCAACGACTCACCACAAGCCCAACGAGTCACCACAAGCCCAACGACTCACCAAAAGCCCAACGACACACCACAAGCACAACGACTCACCACAAGCCCAACGACTCACCACAAGCCCAACGACTCACCACAAGCCCAACGACTCACCACAAGCGCAACGACTCACGACAACCCCAACGACTCACCACAAGCGCAACGACTCACCACAAGCCCAACGACTCACCACAAGCACAACGACTCACCACAAGCGCAACGACTCACCACAAGCGCAACGACTCACTACAAGCTCAACGACTCACCACAAGCCCAACGACTCACCACAAGCGCAACGACTCACCACAAGCCCAATGACACCACGAGCCCAAAGACTCACCACGACCCCAACGACTCACCACGAGCCCAACGACTCACCACGAGCCCAATGACTCTCCACAAGCCCAATGACTCTCCACAAGCCCCACGACTCACCACAAGCCCAACTCACCACAAGCCAAACGACTAACCACAAGCCCAACGACTCACCACAAGCCTAACGACTCACTACAATCCCAACGACTCACTACAAGCCCGATGAATCACCACGAGCCTAACGAATCACCACAAGCCCAACGACGCACCAAGCCCAACGACCCACCACAAGCCCAACGACTCACCACGAGCCCAACAACTCACCACAAGCGCAACAACTCACCACAAGCTCAACATATCACCACAAGCCCAAGAAATCACCACAAGCCCAACGACTCACCACGAGCCCAAAGACTCACCATGAGCCCAACGACTCACGACAAGCCCAACGACTCACCACAAGCGCAACGACTCACCACAAGCCCAACGACTCACCACAAGCGCAACGACTCACCACAAGCGCAACGACTCACCACAAGCGCAACGACTCACTACAAGCTCAACGACTCACCACAAGCCCAATGACTGTCCACAAGCCCAACGACTCACCACAAGCCCAACGACTCACCACAAGCCCAACGACTCACCACAAGCGCAACGACCCACCACAAGCCCAACGACTCACCACAAGCCCAACGACTCACCACAAGCCCAACGACTCACCACAAGCCCAACGACTCACCACAAGCGCAACGACTCACCACAAGCCCAACGACTCACCACACGCCCAACGACTCTCCACAAGCCCAACAACTCACCACAATCCTAACGGCGACGTTCCCGTCGCACGCCGTCGCACGCCGTCGCACCCATGCCCATGGACGACATCCTGCGACCCGTCTGGCTCGCCGAGGAGTCGCACATGCTCGCTGCCGCGCACGCCGCCGGGCGCGCGGATCCGCGTGCGCGCGACAGAGCTGTGGGGCTGCTGCGCGCGCGCTCGCTGCGGCGGCAGAAGTCCAGTGCGGCGATCACTGGGGTCGCTGGGAGGGCTTGGAGCGTTGGGAGGGGGTCCACTGGGGTCGCTGGGAGGGCTGCGGGGAGCAATGGGAGTGCAGGGAGCGATGGGACCCGCCCCTCCAGTGGTGGGATTGCCATGGGGATGGGCATGGGAGGGGGCATGGCGGAGGCGTGGGCCGAGGCGTGGGGATGGGTGGGGGAATGGTGCCCACTGCGTATGGTGTGGGCGCAGGTATGGGCGCAGGTATGGGCGCAGGTATGGGCGCAGATATGGGCGCAGGGGGGCTGGGGCGGCTTGCTGGGGAGGCTTGCTGGGGAGGCTTGCTGGGGCGGGCATGGTGGCGGCGGATGAGGTGGGGGGCGGGGGAGAGAGGTGGGGGGGCCATTCCGTGCCACTCCGTGCCATTCCGTGCCATTCCGTACCATTCCGTACCATTCTCTGCCATTCTCTGCCATTCCCTGCCACTGCCTCTGCTGCTGCTGTCTCGCCCTCTCCATCCTTCCTTCCCCTTTTCACCGTACCTCTCCCACTTCCTGAACTTTCACCCCCCCAACTGACCTGCATCACCTCCTATTCTCTCCATCGCCTCTCCCCCCCTTCCTCCCTCTCCCCCTCCCCTCCCTCCGCTTCGCAGGAGCTGACCTGGTGCTGCGCTGTGCAGGGCCCTTCCAGCCAGAACCGCGCTGCACCATTTTGGAAGCCTCCATCCGCACCAAGGTGGGCGCCCTGCCTCTCGGATGTCGTCCTCCTCTCTCCCCTCGCGCACCTGCATTGCACCCCACACGCCCTGCAGCCCTCCCCCCCACCGTGCATCACCGCTCCCCCGCTCTACCCGTTACCTGCCCCCCTGCGGTACCGCCATCGTGCTTCTCTGCCACGTCACGTCTGCGAGGCAGCTCAAAAGCCCTCCCTCTCACCCCCTTCCCCACCCCTTAGCCCCCCTCTTCCCCCCTCCTGTGTCACATGCCGTTCTCTCCTGTGTCACATGCTGTGCTCTCCTGTGTCACATGCTGTGCTCTCCTGTGTCACATGCTGTGCTCTCCTGTGTCACATGCTGTGCTCTCCTGTGTCACATGCTGTGCTCTCCTGTGTCACATGCTGTGCTCTCCCGTGTCACATGCTGTGCTCTCCTGTGTCACATGCTGTGCTCTCCTGTGTCACATGCTGTGCTCTCCTGTGTCACATGCTGTGCTCTCCTGTGTCACATGCTGTGCTCTCCTGTGTCACATGCTGTGCTCTCCTGTGTCACATGCTGTGCTCTCCTGTGTCACATGCTGTGCTCTCCTGTGTCACATGCTGTGCTCTCCTGTGTCACATGCTGTGCTCTCCTGCGCGTGGAGGAGGGGGCGCGCATGGAGGAGGGGGCGCGCATGGAGGAGGGGGCGCGCGTGGAGGAGGGGGCGCGCAGGGAGGAGCAACAGGCCGCTCTCAGCATTCGGACAAAGAGCCTGCGGTTCCACCACTCTCTCACACGCTCGTTCACTCACGCACACACTCACCCACTCACTCACCCACCCACTCACTCACTCACTCACCTGCACCCACCAAACCCACCAAACCTCACTCACCTGCACCCCCAAACCGACTCACTCTCACTGCACGTGCATGCACCATGATGGGCAGGTGTTGAGACGCAGCAGCACGGACAGGGGGGCGTGTGTGCTACATTGCGTTGGGGTGCAAGGCGGTGCAGGACTGTCAGTGCGGTGGTGTCAGTGCGGTGGTGGTGTGTGTGGCCATCAATCACTGTCCGTGGTGTGGATGTGCTGCTCTGCTCTTTAACTGTCTGCCACGCCATCCACTTACTCCTCCTGTGCTACTTAAACAAGCCAACCCACACGCCTCGCCCCCAACCCACTGCACTCAACCTCCCTCTCCTTGCTCCCTCTTCCCTCTCACGCCCTTCTGCCCAACTCTTTCCCGGCCTGTCCCCTTTTATTCCATCCCCTCCCCTTGTTTCCCTTCCTCTCCCCAACTGCCACTCCATCAACTCGCTCCACCTCCCCACACCAAGGCAAGTCAACCAAACGTTTTGCCCCCAACCCATACAAGCCACACTCCATGCCATGCCATGCCCTGCCATGCCATGCCATGCCATGCCATGCCATGCCATGCCATGCTATGCCATGCCATGCTATGCCATGCCATGGCCTGCCCTGACCTGCCCTGCCCTGCCATTCCATGCCATGCCATGCCATGCCCGCCATGCCATGGCATGCCATGCCATGCCCTGCCCTGTCGTGCCCTGCCATGCCATGCCATGCCATGCTGTGCCTTGCCATGCCATGCCATGCTATGCCATGCCATGCCATGCCATGCCATGCCCTGCCATGCCATGCCATGCCATGCCATGCCATGCCATCCCTTGCCATGTTATGCCCTGCCCTGCCATGCCATGCCCTGCCCGGGAGGGAAAGGGGGAAGGGTAGTACGTTGCATGTGGAGAGCAAGGGGCATGGGGGGCATGCGAAGTAGGCGGCATGGGGGTGATGCTTTGGTGTTCTCCACTCGTTGCTCAACCAACTGTGCCCCCCGCTCTGTGTGTGCCCCCATGTGGCAATTACCTGTGCAGATCACTTGCATACTACATGGCATCCTGTGCTCTGTCTAGCAGGAGACACGCCTCAAAAGGAGTTTTGGGTGCGGCTTCACCTGAGAAGACATTCTGCTTTCCACATGGCGTCCTGAGTTGCATTTAATTAGCGAGCGAATAGGAGCAGAAGCATCTTGCTCCACCGTGCTGCAGCGGCTCAACTCGTCACACACCTCTCTCTTCTCTTACAACAATCTCCTCGGCCTGCTCTCCTGCATGAAGTTGATACTCTCACGCAGAAAGGTGGCTGTAGCATAAATGTTCGAGTGACACAAGCTCCTCTAGATGCGCTGATTGAGGGCTGATTACTGGTTAATCAAATGCAACCTTGTTTAGAATCACAGTGCTCATTGTTTGATTAACAATTAATAGTGCAATCAAATGTTGTTTATGTAAGGTTCTCTTTAAAGCACCTTAAGACACAAAGCACATACCCTGCACCCCCTTACTTCCCACCAGGCCGCACCTTCTTAACTCCACTCCTCTCAGCCCCCATCGGCGCACTCCTCTTAACCCCCTTCAGCGCACTCATCTGAGCCCCCTTGTGCGCACTCCTCTCAAACCCATTCAGAGCACTCCTAGCCGGAGTCCTCGTCTCACCCTTCTCTTGCAGCTCCTTCGCCTTCTTCCCTTCTTGCTGCTTCGTCTCCTTGTTTTGCGATGCGTTGTTCTTGATTGCTCGCACCAGCTTGGCATAGCTGCCCACGCACGTTGAGAAAAAAAGAGGAGAGAAGAGGAGGGAGGAGAGGGAGAGGAAGAGCGTTGCCATCCTGCTCTTGAGCCACCTCACCTCTACCCTACTCTCCTTCAACTGCACCATCCCTCTGTCCTGCAACACCTCTACCCCTCCGTCCCCCAACCTCCCTATCCCTTTGCACCCGGACCTTCCTATCCCTCTGCCCCCAAACCTCTTCCTGCTTCTGCCAATGGCCCTGCAACCCTCTCCCTCCAGCAACAACACACCCCCATCTGCTGTAGCTCCTGCAGGTGAGTCTGCTCTCAAGGGACGGTTCCTGGGAAAATGGGTGCACAAAGGGCTGGACACAGGGCTGACATGACCCCCCACATCAAACCCCCAACCTCCAAGGACTCACGCGAGCGACCTGGCAGTCTCGCCCAGGTTCCCGTTAGCCGGAGAGACATTCACGAACATTAACGTCTTGGCGTTGCCTCCCAGCGAGTCGCTCAGGATCTCCGTGAGATCGTTGCCGCGGTACGTGAACCCTTGCCCTTTGCCCTGAGCCAGCGCAGTGAAGACGCCCACCAAGGCGGACAGCGATGTGTTGATCGCCGTGGCTTCCTTTTGCTGCTCGCCCACTGACCCCGACTTATCCAGGCTCTCTGATCCGGCGAGGTCCACAAAGGTAAGCTGCAGGGAGAGGAGGGGGGAGTGGGAGGAAGGGAGAGCACTTATGGGTTTATGGGAAAAGCTTCTTTACCCTCCCCGACCCCCCCATGCCCACGAAGGACAGCTGGAAGAAATGAGCGAGGGGTAAGGGGAAGAGCTGGTGAGTGGGAAATAGTAGAGGTAAGGGGTGGAGTAGACGGGCTTAGCATAGGGAAGATGGGCAAATAGCCTTGAAGACTGCACTCCCTCTGACCTTGCTAGGTACACAATGGTCAAGTGCAGCTGGGGAGGGAGGAGGAGGTAAAAGGCAGGAAATCTTGATGCGGGACACAACAGGGGTATAGGGGCGACTTGAGGTGGCGAGAAGTTGGGGGTGGGTGTGTCAGCTAGTTACGATTTACAACAGAAGAAAAGGTACACACTCATGTGGGCACACACCTTTCCGCAGCACACGCTCTGGGTGAGCAGGTCGGTGGTCTCCACAATGATGGAGATCACGAGGTGCGACCTTGAACTCTCTGCGTTCATTTGTGTGGGAGCCACTCTGCGCCTCTCCATCCCCTCCTGCACCACCGTCTGCAGGCGCTGCAGGTCCTCCACCTCAAGCAATGTTTCATTCTCCACATAGAACACGCCCTGGGGGAACATGGGAACATGCAGAGAGTACAGAGTGGTTAAGAGTGGTGCAGAGGAGTTAAGAGTGGAAAGCAGTTTAATGCGGTGCAGAACGGATACTGCACGCGTCTCCATGCCCCCCTGCACCAGTGCTTCCAGCTACAAGAGGTATTGCACCTCAACGAGAGTCGCGTTCACCACCATCACCATGCCTTGGGGAGGGGGGGAGAAATAACACCAAGTAACACATCAAGAGGGTACTGAGCGGTTGAGAGTGGTGCAGAGTATATTGACTGGCTGGATATGAGCGAGCTGGACCAAGCGGCTTGGAGGGAGACAACAAGTGTGCAGGAACTAGAGAATAGAATCCTGATGCATTCCACTGCTCATGGCGCCACACTCACACGTGCGATACTACCTACGTAGTACATACCTTGGCGGCGTCCTTCCTGATCTTCAGAGTCGGCTTGTTGTGAACATTCCTGGGCAGCAGGAGGTCCTCCAGAGTGTCCCGGTACAGCTCCAGCATGCGCACCTGCCAAAGAGGAAGGATGGGTGCGGACACGCAGAAAGAGGGTAACAGTGAACGAGAGCGACAGCAGCGGAGGAACTCTGCCAGTCAGACTAAGCAGCAGGCAGCGTGCCCTGGTGGAGTGGCAGGTGCAGCACGGCTGACTGTAGCTGCAGCAAGGCAGCTCACCTGCAGCTTGTAGGTCTTGCTCCCTTCCTCCTTCATCACGTTGAAGAGCTCCTGCATGGCGCGCGGCCTGAGCCCGGGGTGCTTATCCGTGCCATGGATGGTGAAGGTCTTCCCGCTGCCCGTCTGCCCGTACGCAAGGATGCACACGTTGTACCCGTCAAAGACCGACTGGATCAGGTACTGCAGTGGGGAAAGGGGGTCGGGGGTCGGTTGAGAGGGGAAGGGGAAGGGGGGGGTAGGGGGCAAGGGCCCATAGGGTGAGAACGTTGGGCACTGGCTGATTGTGGTGCATCAAAAGTGGCCAAGGTGGTGATGCCTGCCACTGATGGTGCCACCTACAAATGTTGCCACCTGAATCATCCCTATGAAAGACGCACAGCAACTTGCTTACTCGTGTGTCTTCAAACACCGCCTGTTGAGTATCGTTGTGGTCAAACACTCGGTTGAAATCGTATGGCTTGGGCTCCCCGCCGTCCTTGGTGTCGGGGTGCTGCAGCGTGTACTCGTCCAGCCTCTCCAGCACCGAGTGCTGGCCCTCCTGCTCCTCCTTGCTACTCAGCGGCCGCCACCGTGCATACACTCGAACCATGCCCTTCAATTCTGCATGTGCGCAGCGGGAGGGACAGGGAGAGGGGTGGGGACGGGGAGGGAGACGGGAAACGTCCTCAAGGCAACCTACAGCCCCGACAGGACGTTACCAGCTGCTGAGCGGTTGCCACCACGCATACACCAGCGGCAGCCCCCGAAAAATCTCCCTCTTCATGTCTAGATGTGCGGGGAAGAGAGTGGGGGTAGGGAAGAAGGAAGGGAGGGGGTTCAGGCTACCATACAACTCAGACAGACCACTCCCTCCCAGCTGCCCAGCAGCTGCCACCCACCCACGCCCAAGCCACGGCCAAGCCACGCCCAAGCCACGCCCAAGCCACGCCCAAGCCACGCCCAAGCCACGGCCAAGCCACTCCCAAGCCACGCCCAAGCCACGCATATGCCACGCACAAGCCACTCCCAAGCCACGGCCCAATACCGAGTCCACTCACCCTCCAGCATGTTGTAGAACTTTTTACGCTTCTTAGACTCCTCCTTGTAAGCCTCCTTCAGCTTCTCATGCTCCGCAAGGTTCCGGTCCATCTCCTGTGGGACACATGCGGAAAAAAGGGATTGAATTTGGAGACCATGCTGTATCATTTCCGCCCGTCACATCTCCTCCAGATGCTGCGACTTAGCCTCTTTCTCCCTCTCACCTCCCACATAAGAGTTTGTTAAAATATATATTGTGTAGCATGCCAACACATGTGATTGTACACCAATTGTGGTGTACAGTTGGGTTGGGACTACACCCAACTTTGGGTGTAGTCTTGCACTTTGGGGTGCCAATCCACCCAATTGTGGTGGAGCCCCCAAATGCAACCCTCTTGACTTGTGGGTACCTCACTTCCCACAATTGAGGTTACCCCAAGCCAAGTGGGCCTAGGGTTGCCTCACTTCTACAAAGTGTGGGCAACCCAACCCACTTGACCTATGGTTCCCTCACTTCCCCAAGTGAGGTCAACCCAACCTATGGTCACTTTCATCCTTCCCTTCCAACCTTCCCTTCGAACTATGTATGCTAGGTTGTTCCTCTAATCTAATGACTTGTTCAATTTGCTACTTTCACATGGTATAGAGCTACTTGTTCCTAGGCCTTACCTCTCCCTCCCTTCAGTTTTTTTTTTTTTCCCATGGGCCCACCCCACAGCTACAAACCCTTTCCTACGCGTGGCTCAACTAGCCATCACTAGCATACTCTCGCCGCGACCTACGCCGTCGCCGCCGTTCCCCCCCCCCTCCCGCCGCGATTACGCCTTCCTCGCCTGCGGATTCCACCGCCGCGAGCGCAACGCTGCTGTCCCCTCCTCCCCCCCGCCGCGACCCCCTGTCGCCGCCTCCCCTTCTCGCCGCCGCGCCTGATTCGGCGCCGCCTGCGCATCCTGCCGCCGCGACGCCTCGTCGCCGCCTGCCCGTCCCTCCGCCGCGACGTCTCGTCGCCGCGTTCCCGCCGCCGCGCCTGCTTCGGCGCCGCCTGCGCATCCCGCCGCCGCGACGCCTCGTCGCCGCCTGCCCGTCCCTCCGCCGCGACGTCTCGTCGCCGCGTTCCCGCCGCCGCGCCTGCTTCGGCGCCGCCTGCGCATCCCGCCGCCGCGACGCCTCGTCGCCGCCTGCCCGTCCCTCCGCCGCGACGTCTCGTCGCCGCGTTCCCGCCGCCGCGCCTGCTTCGGCGCCGCCTGCGCATCCCGCCGCCGCGACGCCTCGTCGCCGCCTGCCCGTCCCTCCGCCGCGACGTCACGTCGCCGCCTCCCCTTCCCGCCGCCGCGCCTGCTTCGGCGCCGTCTGCCCGTCCCGCCGCCGCGACAGCTCGTCGCCCCCTGCCCGTCCCGCCGCCGCGACCTAACATCGCCGCCTGCGCATTCCGCCGCCGCGACTGCTCGTCGTCACCTCCCCGCCCCCCACCTCCCCCCCCCCCCCCCCCCCCCCCCCCCCCCCGCCGCGATTTCACATTGCCGCCTCCCCTCCCACCGCCGCACCTGCTTCCGCGTCACCCACGCATCTCGCTGCCCCTTCTGCATCGCCACCCTCCCGCAATTTCCCCCGCCGCAACTGCAACATCGTCGCCCCGCGGTTCCCGTTAACGCCACTGCGCCGCCGCCGCCCTACCGCCGCGACTGCTTCTTCGCCGCCTGCCCATCCTCCACCGCGACCGCGCCATCCCCGCCCACACTTCCTGCCGCCGTGACTGCCCCGTCGCCGCCTGCAGATTCAGCCGCAACTGCACCCTCCCTTCCTCCTCTCCCTACTCCTCTCCCCCCCCCCTCCCCCTCCCCCTCCCCCTGCGCCCCTCGTTGCCGCGGCCTGCCTGCCGCCGCCGTCCCTCGTTTCGCCGCCGCGGCCCTTCCGCCGTCACCTGCGCCCCTCGTCGTCGCGGCCTGCTCGCCGCCGCCGCCCCCGACTTTGCCACCGCCTCCCCTTCCCGCCGCCGCACGTTCGCACAGCCGCCTGCGCCCTTGTCACCGTCGCTCCCTGCACCTTGAACGCCTCTGCCCTCCACCGCTGTCTCCCTCCTTTACCCCCCCCCCCCCCCCCCTCCCTCCTCCTGCCAGCGGCAGTAGCAGCGGCAGCAGGGGAAGTGCAGCAGCCTCCGCAGCAGCAACTTCACCCTTGGCCGCCGCGGGTCCACCCGCCGTCGCCCATCATGACTGCTACCCCCCCTGCCCCTCTCCCCCCTCCTCACTGGAGCAGTGTTACTCCTCGCCCCTCCCTTCTCAACACTCCGACCCTCCACTCCTCCCCCCCCCCTTATCTCCGCCTGCTCACCCCCTCCCCCCCTCCCCATCTGCGGCGTTTCCAGCAGCTCCAGCATCAGCAGCAGCAGGACTTCCAGCAGCGGCAGCAACCACAATTTCTCCAGCCGCACCCCCCACATCTCCTCCAGCCGCGGCAATCGCAGCAGCAGCAGTTCTTCCAACACCAACAGCAGCCGCAATCTCTCCAGCCTCACCCGCCACAGTTTCTCCATCCCCAGCAGCAGCAGTCCTTCCAGCCGCAGCAGCGGCAGTCCTTCCAGCAGCAGCAGCTGCCACAGTTCCTTCCACCGCAGCAGCAGCAGTCCTTCCTGCAGCAGCAGCAGCCACAGTCTCTCCAGCCGCAGCAGCAGCAGTGCTTCCAGCAGCAGCAGCTGCCACAGTTCCTTCCGCCGCAGCAGCAGCAGTCCTTCCAGCAGCAGCGGCAGCCACAGTTTCTTCAGCCGCAGCAGCAGCAGTGCTTCCAGCAGCAGCACCAGCCACAGTTCTCTCCATCCGCAGCAGCAGCAGTGCTTCCAGCAGCAGCAGCCACCACAATCTCTCCAGCCGCAGCAACCGCGGCAGCATCGGCGGTGCTTCCAGCAGCAGCAGCAGCCCAAGCTCTCCAGCCGCAACCGTCACAGTCTCTCCCACCGCAGCAGCCGCAGCAGCAACAGCACTTACAGCAGCAGCACCAGCCGCTCTCTCCCTCTTCTATCCATGAAACAACTCTCCAGTACTCTGTGTTCCCTCCCTCTCCTTCCCCCCCCACCCTGGACTTTGTCCTTGACAGTGGGGCCACCGAAACCGCACTAAAAGACGCTGGCACCCTCACCCCCCTTCCACTTCCCACCCAGGTTCATGGTGCCGACTCCAGCTTTTCCATCCCCTGCACTCACCTCTCCACCCTTCCTTGCACCGCCTTCCCATCCGGTACAGTCACCGGTCTCCACATCCCTACCCTTCGCAATAACCTCCTCTCCCACCGTGAACTCCAAGGCGTTGGCATTACCGCCATATACCCTGGCTTTGCTTCCTACTGCGATCTCTATCACACCGCCTCTGGTCGTTTCCTCCTGCGCATTCCCCTTTGCCCTCGCACTCGCCTTTACACGCTCCGCACACCCCGTCCCTCCTTTTGTCACGTCACCACTCGTGCTGGTACTTCCACCGGTCCCCTTCTCCCTCCCCCTCACCCTCCCCCTCCCCCTCCTCCGATATCCTCCTCCTCTACTCCATCCGCCTCCTCCTCCCCCCCCAAATTTTCCCCCACCCCATCCCCCTCCTCCTCTACTGCCCTCTCCCATCCTGCAGTGCTCCTACATCACAGACTCGGCCATCCCAACTTCGCCGCACTTCGCTCCACCGTCACCTCTCGCCTCCTTAACAGCCTTCCTCCCACCTTACCTCCCCTCCCCTCCTCCCCTGCTCCCCCATGCCCATCATGCATTCATGGCAAGCTCAAACAGTCCCCCCATCACAGTCATCCCACCTTCGCTCCCGCCCCCATTGACCTTGTTCACATGGATCTCTGGGGCCCTTATCCCATCCGCTCCCGTCAGGGGCACAGGTACATGCTCGTGCTCGTCGACGACCACAGTCGGTACTCCACCGTCTTCTTTCTTCACACGAAAGACCAGGTGCCGGCTGTGGTCATCAACTGGGCTGAGCAGTGCCGCAACCACTTCAAACGTCCCATAGGCCGCCTTCACTCTGACGGTGGGGGTGAGTTCATCAATCATACTCTCTCCACTTACTACAAAACATACGGCATTCAGCAGACCACCACCCTTCCCCACTCCCCTCAGCAAAACGGCATCGCTGAGAGTCGCATCCGTGAGATCACCAAGATTGCGCGCTGCCTCATTGCTCACGCCTCCACCCCTCCCTCCCTCTGGAGCTATGCCCTCATTCATGCCACCCTCCTCCTCAATCTCCGCTCCCACCCTCAGCATCCCTCCTCCTCCCCCACAGAACTCTGGTCCAAGGCCAAGCCTGACGCCGCAGGCCTTCGTGTTTGGGGCTGCAAGGCGTTCGTCCTCATTCCACCGGCCGACCGCTCCCGCGCTGCTGGCAAGCTCGCTCCTCGCGCTCTGGAGTGCGTCTACCTTGGGCACAATCGTGATTCCCCAGGCTACCTATTCCTCCACCCTCCCACCAATCGCCTCATCCGCAGCATTGACGTCGTCTTCGACGAGTCCACTCCCTACTACTCCACCCCTCCTCCTGACCCCCTCCCTCCTCCCACTCGCCCCCTCGCTTGGACCGACACCATCCTCCCGCCTCTTATCCCTCCAGCGCCTCTCCTCCCACCTGTCGCCGCCCCACTCCCGCCTTCCTCCTCTGCCGACGTCTACGACCCTGCCGCACCCGCCTCCCCCGCTCACTCAGCTGCACCCCCTCCCCCCTCTCCCTCCTCCTCTCATTCTCCTCCTTTCCAGCAGCCGGATCAGCAACAGTAGGGGCAGCAGCAGCAGCAGCAGCCGGATCAGCAACAGCAGGGGCAGCAGCAGCACCACCAGCAGCAGCAGCAGCAGCAGCAGCGGGAGCAACACCAGCAATGGCAGCAGGGGCAGCAGCAGCAGCAGCCGGGGCAGCAGCAGCAGCAGCAGCAGCAGCAGCAGCAGCCGGAGCAGCAGCAGCAGCAGCAGCAGCAGCAGCAGCAGCCGGGGCAGCCGCATCAGCAGCAGCCGGGACAGCAGCAGCAGCAGCAGCATCAGCAGCAGCAGCACTAGCAGCAGCAGCGGCGCCGTGCCACTTCCCGCTCCTCCCCCTTCCTCCTCCCTTACATCCATACCCGCTCGGTGGACAAAATCCTTGGGGCTCCTCCTCCTGCCTCCATTCAGCTCCTTGAGGACTCCCATGAGGAGTTCCTCAACATTCGGGAGCACACTCCATTCCTTGCCGCCCTCTACCTTGATTTCCTGGGCTTTCCTGTCCTTGGCGCCACTACTACCCCCACCATCTTCACTCCCTCCACCTTCCAGGAAGCCATCACCTGCCCTGATGCGGATAAATGGATAGCAGCGATCTTCCTGGAGTGTGAGGCTTTCATTCGCAACGACTCCATTGTCGATGTCCCCCTCCCTGCTGGCGCTAATCTCGTTGACGGCAAATGGGTCTTTCGGGTGAAGCAGCTGCCGGGCGAGGAACCAGTGTACAAGGCCCGCTACTGCGCCAAGGGGTTCACGCAGACTTGGGCTGAGGACTACTGGTTCACCTACGCCCCCACCGCCAAACCACCCACCCTTCGCGCCGCCATGGACATTGGTGCACGTGACGACATGGAAATCGACTCCATGGACGTCTCCAATGCGTTCCTGCAGGGCGACCTGCATGAGCGCATTTTCCTCCGGCGACCCCCCGGGTTCCACGCAGCCTTTCCTGAGAACACTGTCTGGCAGCTGCGTCGCCCCGTCCACGCCTTCACATCTCCCATGTCGGCCTCGAATCTCCTCCGATCACCCCACCCTGCCTCCCTTCTCCTTCGGAACGCAAAATCTTCTCGCGGTACTATCTTCCTATCTCCCCGCCCGCACAACCGTCCCAGCTGCTTGCTCTTCCTTCCCGACTCACCTGCCTTTCTTCACACCGCGTATCCGTGGCATCTCATCTTCCCTCCCATCCTACCGATCTCCTTCCCCTCCCGTCTCTCCCCACTTCCGCCCCCATCTCACCTCCATTCCTTCCCATCTCGCCCCACATCACCACTCCATGCCTCCTCATCTCTCCTTCCAGCCCTCATCTCCCATTCATGCCTCCCATCTCCCATGGGACCTTTTGGTTGCATCTACCTGTGTTCGCCAGTGTCCCCTTGCTTGCCTTTTCCTCTGATCCAGTTCCCCTGACGCTCCCCTTCTCCCCACCTCCACAGGACCAATCCCTGCTGCCCTCACTCGTCTGCTGCATCTCGGCCTGCAGAGCAACCGCCCCTCAGGCTCAGGGGCCATTCCGACACTGGGCCAGCTGAAGCAGGTGAGTTTGAAGCCTGCCATGCGGATGCTGGATCCATCCCTTGCCACCACACTCCCTTCATTCCCTCACCAACTCTCCCTCCTCCCTCTTTTCTCTTTTCTGCTGTAATTCACCTCCCCATCTCTGTGCCCTTCCTTAGTTGTTTCTCCACGCTTCCTGGTGATCACTGCTCACTGCCTCGCTACTCACTTCCTTTGCAGCGTATAATCAACGCTTTCAGAACATTACTTCGAACAATGATCCCACCTCCATGCCCTTCATGGCCATCTCTCCACCCTGGCCTACTGTCCTCGTTTTAGGACCGCATCCCTCCGTCCCACACTCTGTCCCTCCCTGTCCCTCACCTCTTTGGCA